AATTTCCTTTACTGGCAGGAACTCACTATCTAATCACCCAGTCTGGGAAAGGAACGCACCCTGAATTCAACAGTCCCTCTGTAGCGTTTCTATGACTTTTTTTTATTACAGCATAAATTTAAAATTTTTTCCCTCTCCATGTGACATCATCTTCTGATTTTCCAAAAATGAAAGACATCGAAAGTAATTAGCACAATCCATGTAAATATAGAATTTAAATAGAACTCAGGCTATTTCCAATATTTTTAATTTTATTCATTCTCAACTGCAAAGGTCCTTGTTAGGTTTGGAACCTCAATGGTTAGGGTTAGGGTTAGGGTTAGGGTTAGGGTTAGGGTTTGTGCATTCAAGAATACTCTAAATTAAAGCTAATGCAGTGGTGTGGATATTGCAGTAATTATTTTTAGGGGTCATTTTAAGGATGGCGGCGTTGCTGGTGGGAGCGCAGCATCCACTTTATGAACTGAAAGCAGGAAGATCTACCCGGGTCGCAGCAAGCCTGGTGAGCTTGCACGGCGTGCGTCCCGCATCCTTCACTTCTGCCAGACTCACACCTTTCCCACTCCTGACACGGCCCTGTTGGGTATTTCTTGGGCCTAAATTTCTTTCTCTGAAACTTTCAAAATGACTGCTACCCAGGGAGTTGTCAAGTGCCAACTCTGAGATAACAAACGCAACAGTTGACAAAGAAGCTCAATAATTGGCTGAAACACCACACAGTCCTGCTGGGTTTCGTGAAAGTCCCTCTTTTAGAACAACGACAACAATGTTTGTAAAAAACTCTCCCTGTGCAAGGAGATGTCAAACACATATTCCCAAGATGGAAAGTCCCTCTTTGCAGCCACACTGGCGTTGCACACGACTCGTCCAAGCGCAGACAGGACAGCAGCTGGGCGAGCTGAGCTCACTCTGGGGACCGAGATGGCCGGAAACTGGGCCCGACGCTCCCCAATGCCGTTCAGTCTTCCCGGGGTTGGAAACCACCGAGCGGGACCGCCGGCCATGGGGAGCAGACCCCTGGGGTTAGAAAGCTCCACTGTTGATGCCACGTAAACGTGCTGCCATGGCAACCGCCAGGGATGTTTGTGCATGTGTGTGCTGCTCGCTGGCCTACCTCGGTATGCGGTAGATTCGCTGTGAGCCGCACGATCTACGAGCGTGTCATGGAATAAGGACACTACGATCAAGCCTGATGGCTTCACTGGGCCGCAGGGCACTGGCCCCCTGGAGCCAGCCTCGCCCTGTGCTGTAGTCCCAGAGCGTCTCTGCTGACCAGGGGTGTAACCTACCACTTTGCTCGAGCTTACCCCACACCAGGGCGGAGGGGAGGGGCAAGGGAGGGGTCTTTACAACAGGACTTTAAGATTGGGGGGAAAGGATGCCAGAGACGCAGCCGCAGGTGCTACCTGTGGATGTAGCTGTGCACCAGGTCAGTAAGTGACATCCCTGCTGAGTTGGCTGTTGACAGACTGCAACAACCACCCGTCCTCGTGGCAGAGAATAATGGCATTACTGTGGCTCAGTGCGTGTGGGTTGGCTGGGAGCCTGCTGCTCTGGGTTTGGGGGTGTCTGTGCAAGAGCACCTCTGCTCCCAGGTCCTTAGGCCGCCTCTGGGACCAGAAGGCGAGGCTGGGAATGGTCCCAGGATGAGGCTGCAGTGCAGAGACCAAGCCCAGCCACACATTTCAAGACACCGCGGTGCTGGTCTGGTGCTCTACCGCTGGCCAAAGCAACACGCAAGGCCAAGTCCGCCCCCAAGGGCAGAGGGCACACACCACGTAGCGTGAGACCAAAGCAGGTCACCTTGTCTCGTTTAGTATCGAAGGAGCGGGAAGTGCTGGCATCCAGGGAATGCAAGGGAGGATGCCAGTGTCCCCAGACAATAGTCAGCTCTGCCGCAAGAAGACGCCATCCAGGTAACCAAAGGCGTGCGGGAGCACCGAGCCCTACTCTGAGCTTTGAGCCTAGTACTGTTCACACCGGCTACCTTAATTAACTGCCTGCAAAAAGGAACACCCTCAAATGCCTTCAGCGCCATGAGACACATTTGCAAACTGAAGCTTCCTGAGAAAGCAGCGACTTCTTGGCCTGGCCCTCGGAAGCTGTGGGTCAGCAGCCGCAGCTCTGCTCCCAGCTGCCGCTCTTCTCCTTCTGAGACCCACTGGTCTGCAGGCCGCCTTCTCGGGCAGATGGAGAGGGCAGGAGGTTGTCAGTAACGTGAGGTGCTGCTCATAGCTTCTGCTCTGAACTGGCACTGCCACTGCTGCTCCCCGGGCTGTCCAGGGGGGCGGCCATGCCTGACTGGCTGGGAAGTGCCCATGTGCAGGGAGGCGTGGCTGCCCAGCCCACAGCCCTGGCTGGTGTGTGATCTTCATTGGAGAGGAGGGGGACAGGTGGGGACAGTCCGTCTTTGACAAGTGGTGCCACTCCACACACAGGAAGGTCACTAAGAAACAGCTCTCTCCACTGACAGACAGACGCAGCCCTGCCCATATTAGGTTGAATGATCTCGCTCACACACATGCAGCTTTTGGGACTAGGCCCAGGATGACCAGGCAGACAGACACCGCATCCCCACGTCCCCATGTCCCCAGACCTCTCAGTGCATCGTTCAACCCAAACACAGTTCCAGCTCGGAGATCAATCACAGGTCTGGGGGCCCTTGAGGTCACCACAGAAAGCAGGGTGGCAAAAAGCCCTGTGAGGTGTGGGGTGACCATGCATTCAAGGCCACCCTCGTGCTGACATGGGGAACAGGCACCAATATGGAGTGGCTGATAAAGGCCGGGCCTGTGGTTCTGCAAAAGCTGCAGCAGGAACTCGAGGAGACGCCTCCTCTACTGACCTGTATCACTGGGCACGATAAAGAGGGTTTTGCACGTTATTCAGCTGCGTGGGGCCATTAGGATCTCTGAAACAAAACTACAGTTTGGCCTATAATGTGGCCAAATTCTGCAATTATTCTGGTGTTTTAAACAGCGATGCTAATTGCTTCTCTTTTTGAAGACGGGACTGACTTGGCTTCTCCTTTAAGTTGTACAATGTAAAAGGACAGGAGATGGAAGTTCAGGTTGAAGGCTGAAGTTCAGGTTGAAGTCATGGCTTAAAAAATCAAAGCACCTTTGGAAGTAGGTGGTCCGGGAGTGAAACTGGCTCCTATAGGATGAGCCTGGAAAGTATTATGGTGCCGAGAACCAAGGAACAGTCCAGAAGCTCTGTAGATGTGGCAGAGGGACTCAGGATCCAATGAAGATGCACTTTGTCTGCCCAAAGATGGGCAACGAGAATATCATGAGGATAAGGGCAGTGACAGAGACAGTGTGTTTATACCAGGCCCACGAGTCTATAAAAGCTCAGCACACAAGGCGTTGGTCACCTGGGGAAGGAACTCGTTCTTTGAAAAGGAAGAAAGATGTGTGCATCCTGTCTGGCCTGTAGGAACTATATCTTGGAGTAACCAGACAGCTGATGGGAACAGCTGATCTTCACATCAGCATTCCAGTAGCAAGTGAAGAAGTCATGCAGCCTCTGATGAATCAGTGGCTCTGGGCAATGGCTGTCAGTGGCAGCGAACATCACAGAAGAGAACTAGGCCTGGAACGGCCAGGCAGACAGACACCAGGCAGCTCTGAAAGAAGATGTACTAAGGAGATGCACTAAGGAGATATACTGAGCCACGCAAGGGGTCTTGCCAGCAGTACCAGACCTGAACCCGATGAAGGTCTAGCTCTCTCCGTATATGGGGAAGACCAGAGCCAGACCGGCCGGCTGAAGCGCTGAACATAATCAACATAGTGTAAACTACAGGAAAAACAAACGCAGCATTCTTTACCCTTAACATTGCAAGAAGAAGGAAAAGAGCCAAACCCCATGGATTAAAGTACGTAGAAGAGGCCTCTCAGCCCTCCCAGCACGCAAGTGGCATTAGGACCCAAATGCTAACAAAGCAGCAAAAGCCAAGAAGACAGTCAGGAAAGCGAAACGCAGGGCTCAGATATGCTCAGAGCTGGATGAGGACCCATGGGTCTTAGTGGTTAAAACAGATCAGCTTTTTCTTTACCATGTATTTATGACATAGAAACCTCGAGTACATCATCAGCCTCCCACGGTGACAGCAGACCAGGGGAAACCTTTGTAAACGTGGAAGCTACTGCTCGCTCCTGAATATAGGAGTGAAGGAAGAAGATAGACACCCACATATATATGACCCGGTTCTGGGCGGTGGGAGAGGTCACAATAGAACCAAGGAAACATTGGTTTTAGATCCTTATATAAAAAATTTAATCTGAGTGCGTCTATTGAAATACACTGAAAGAAAACAGTGTTAGCAACCTTAGATATTCCAGGGTTTATAGCAAAGATTCAGATCTTCCAAAAGCTGTTCCCTAGCGTTGCTTTTCTAATAATCCTCCTGTTATTCTGCGTTCACTTCATCTTTTCAGCTAAAGCTTTGCCATCTATTTCTTTGTATGCTCGTCTCGAATTATTCAAAGTTTGCATCAAATGTACATGTATGCCTTCAACCACATAGCAAATCTTCCAAAGGGCAAAGAATGAGATTTTACCCCATCCCCCCTTTTTTCTAATGCAGTGATCAGAGGCAACAAGAGAGGTTTGCCAGGGAGGGAGGGAGGAGCATCAGCATATCTAAATCTCAAGGCTGAACTATTACATTGCTGCTTAAACTCTGATCAAAGTAAACCATTACTCCCAATATAAAGATAAATCTTAAGACTAGGTTGAATATCAAGAAAAATGCATAGTTTGTGAAATCAGGATAAATTACTAAATACCATGGGCCCTAACCTCAGCTGTTAGGCCGTGATGCCACAGTTTCTTCTGCTTTAATATGCTAAAAGATTCTTCCCCAGCTTCCCCCCGCCCTTCTTTTAAAAAATCAAACTAAAAATGATGCAGCCACATGTTTAATCCTATGTGCTTAAATGACAACTGAGTTCATCCACCCGAACGATATTTACGAGGTGAACAGGTAGGCGTACCTCTGAGTAAGTTGGCGAGAGGTATTTCCCGTTGCATTTGGCAATGCGCCTCAGAATCTGCAGGGCTTTATCCCCTTTCTTCTGAGTAATCAGCCAGCGAGGAGATTCAGGAACCGCCCTGGTGATGAAAGGCTTTTGTGAGTTATGCCTCGGACCTTCGAAACCTTAGGGGTGGGGGTGGGAGGGGAGGGATTGGGGTCAGAATGGGGGGGCTGCAATTGTATGGGGAATATAAAAATAAAATTTATTATTAAAAAAAAAAAAGTTAGTGTCTTGTGTTTCTCAATCCAAGAACGTCTTGCAACGAGCTCAGGAGAGTCTGAGATTTTAGAATGGAAGGAAAACTGCATCCTTCGTCAGTGGATCATCGTTCACAATACAAATATTAGATATGACATTGTTTTTGCAAGACCAGGCTGTCCAAGAATACAGTGTTCTTGATCACACGTGAAAAGAAGGAGGTTTAAGGAGTATTTAAGTAAACTAGATGTAAGCAAATTTATCTGCCCATATGTTGAAAATTAAACTAGAGGCATAATTAAAACGTATTCATGCTGATAAGAAATGCATGTAACTGCAGCTTTCTGATAATTTTCTGATGCTCTTTACATTTGCTTACCCCTCAGAGAGTTCCTGAACATTGTTAATTCACTTGATTGAACATACAAAGGAGCAAATCGGTTTCATCGCACTCCATTTGCATGTGGAGATACTTGTTGCCTTATTGTTTTCAGGAAAATATGACAAAATAATGAAAGGATGCAATACGCTAGGGTTTTGCATTTTGGTATATTATTAATTTACTTACATAATGACTATTAACAAGTAATCAATCATTTCCATCAATTCTCAAACCCCACACCATTCCGGAGATGTTTAAAAAAAAAATCTCCATTTAAAAAGCTTCTATTTTCCTGCTGTTTTGGAAGCATGAGATTCTACATGTCTGTGGGGCAAGAATGCAAACACGATAATGACAAAGCCACATTACCAGAAATAAAGGAGGAAGAGGAAATTGGGCAGCGTTATGGCCAGCTGGATCCCTTGCCAATTGGGAATAAAGTAGGCAATTCCAGGGAGAATTATGATTCCAAGGGTGAAGAACATCTGAATCACTATTCCCACAATCCTCCTTTGTTTCGAACCTACAATTTCTGTCACTGAAGGAAAACAAACATAGAGGTTAGGGACACTCGAGGTCAACCCCGAAATAAACAGACATCTTACCTGTGACATCCACCAGTTTCCCCAGAGGACGCTGGAGTCGCGGAGACTGAGGCTGCCCGACCCACTGCAGGGCGGAGATGCGTCCCCAGATGGTGTGCATGCTTCTCCCCTCCCTCTGGCACAGCAGGGTGTGCAGAGAATTCATGTGTTGTTTCAGGAGAGCTTACATGGCGACGATTTTGAAAGGCAATGATAATGATCAAAATCTAAGTGTGCGAGCGGGCTGGGCTTTGCTGTTGTAGCTATAGATTTGCATGGCGGAGTCTCTTGAGGAGACTGATGAGAGGAATAGACTGAAGAAATTTTTTCATCATCTCAAAGAGTTTCTATCAAATAACAATCCTTTCCACTGTGTTGGCTTTTCGTTTATGTGCTATTTTTTTTTTTAAAAAACCACATGGGGTGTTTCTCCCTGGCTGCCTGTCTGTCCCTTCCCATGCATTGGTTCTACTGGCCACTAAGCCTGTTCTGGGGGCCCTGGAGTTGTTACCTCAGTGTCACAATTCAGAACTCAGGAGACCCGCCTAGACCTGGAGTCCGGAAGATGCTTTAGATGCCACAACCCTGAGCCCCCGCGCGCCTCCCGCCCGCTCCCAGCACATTCCTGCAGGGTCTCTGCGTGGCCCAGCCTAGAGGGCGGCTGGCGGACCGAGGGGGCAGCAGGAGCCCAAGTCCTGGAGCTACGACCAGAGAGCTCTGCCTCCCTGGTCAAGGGTCCACCTGCCTTCACCTGGGTGACCCGGCGTGGCCACCATGGGAACGAGAGGCAGGACTTCCCCAAGCTCCATGAGCAAACAGCAAAGGGATGTGTTTTCTTTCTTTCATACCTGGAAGGTCAAACCTTCTTGTTAGGAAAAATAATGAAGGTTATTTTCTCGTTTTTAGGTCATCTCTCACACGTGGCAAAAAGTTCTCCACGTGTGTAGAAGGAATACAATTAAAGCAATAATAGCTGAGAACACGGAAAAGTGGTCTCAAATTATATTGCAGAAATGAAGATGCTTCCAGATGGTTTCAGGGTCTACAACGAATGCATTCCTTTGTCACAAAAACATATTCCTAGTCAGGAAAGAGGCCAAGTGAGGCACTTCCACAGTTCTAGGCTCCAGGTCTCTCTGGAATTAGGATCTCCCATATTTGGTCCCCAAAGCAAGATGGCATTTTAATTGCTGAAGATACAGACTTTTGCCCCACCAGCCCCTTTTGCAAACTCCTCAGGCCTGCAGGAGCGAAGCCTCCTCACGCGCACCTGCGTGAGGCTGACGGCTTTGCCTGCCACGCCCTGGGTCCAGCATGAGCCGGCGCGGCCTTACCGATCACGTAGCAGGTGATCCACGTGCCCTTGGCGAACAGGCCTTGCAGGAAGCGGAAGACCATGAACATGGGGAAGTTGGGGGCAAACGCGACCACCACGCCGGTGCTGCCAACGCCCAGGCAGGAAATCAAGTAAACGACTATTCTGCCAAACCTGCAGAGAGAGAGGAGAGAGGGCACCTTGAACCATCCATGGCCCGACTGCTGAGTGTCGCCGCAAGAGCTCGGCTCAGGAAGTCCGTGCTCTTTAACTGCCCGTCGCCCCGTATGTAGAGACTGCAGAAAATTCAAGGTTTGTTTTATAGCCAAGCCAGGGCAAATAAAAACATGATATTACAACATTTAAAGCATGGAAGTCCCCTGCTGGGATTGCGTTTCCAGCAAGATCGCCCTCTGTGACACTGGCATTTCACATCTGATCTCCTGATCTCCCTGGGGATGGAGCTGTGACACTTTCTAGCATTTCTGTGGGTGGAATCCTAAGGACACAGGGACAAGAGGCACAGAGGAGTTCCCAACAGCCGAGGCCTGGGCTTGGCAGCCACAGACAGGCACTCCTCTGGCCTCTGAGACTCGGCTTTGTTTATTTGCTTGTGGGTCTTTTTCAACTTTTCTACAGTAAGACTGCAGAGAACCCAAGGAGAGGCCGAAGTGCACATTCCCGGCAAAGTCTAAGTTCAAGACCAGCGTGAGTTGTTCTGAAATTCTGACTCTCATTCTCCCCTTTTATTGTACATGTGGTTATTAACAGCTCAGGCAAGGGACAGGCCACTATATTCGAGACTCTGATCGGACGCTAAGTGGTTCGGTGCGGTCCTGCCAAATCATGGTTGGTGAAGTTTGTCATCCATGACCTTTAGGAGATTTGATTTGGTGACACTTTTCAGAGGACATTTTACAAAATCCACCCTGGTGGCATCCTGCTTCAGTCTTGGGGTTGAGGACAGAAGCAGCTGGTTTATCAAGATTTCCAAATTCTCCAGCTGCCAGAGACAGGAGCTCTAGACTGTTTCCTGTTCTTGCCTCCAAGGCCACGTGGGAGGGCCCAAAGGCGGCTGGCCCTGAGCTGAGGAAGACTCATTCATGACTCTGCTTCCTTGGAGGCTCAGGTCACCCCCCAAGGACAGACGCTGAAGCCCCTCGTAGAGCCTGGGAAGGAAGCCTCTCCCCAAGTGGAGTGACTTCAGTGGGGAGACACGTCTATTGACTGTGGAAGAGAAACAGGTAGAAGGAGCAAAACCTGACATTTAAATGAGGAAGAGTAACAACCACAGTGAAGAAACACGTATGGAAAACGCTTTTGCCTTCCAGATGGCAGCCGACGAGGAGAGCAAGTCCAATGTGGGGGAGGCCCAGAAAGGGAAGGCCACGTGGCAAAGCACAGCAAGTAGAAACAGGAGGGAGAGACACCAACGAAGGAGCGGACGGGACAGAGTGTCAGACATAAAGGACGAGGGTGTCACCCAGAGGAGGGCTGCGGGGGCAGCAGGGACAGAACAAGATGGAGGAAGGGGCGAAATGTCCCCTGAGACCCTGTGTGCTGGGACGTCCCGTGCTGGCCCAGGCCACATGAACAGGCTACAAGACCGAGACATCTGATGGCCTTGACTCGGCCGCTAGGTGCTGTCTGGGTGCGCTAGGCACCCACAGTGCTGGCCGCTGCAGGCGGGGGACAAGGGCCCACCCAGGCTGGCGAGGGTGGCCCAGGGCCACAGCTTTCATGGTCAGATTCGGGCTAGAGGAATAGTCGTGCGTGGGCACAATAACCAGCCTCGATAACACCGGGAAGAGGCGCCCGCGACTAGGGATGGCCACGGGCTTCGACACACGTGCTCGTGGGGTCTGCCACCAGCTGGCACACTTAGGAATGCTAAATAACAGATGGTTGATTTTGCATGGTTTTTAGAATGGCCTTTCCACAGTCTTAAATTTATAAAGGAAACTACAAGGATTTGTCTTTTAAAAATTAAATAGGCAGACTTCGGACTAAACTCGTCAGGTCACACCCCGTGATTTATAGGCACATGGGCATCGTCTCTGCAGCGTCCGGCACAGCGATCCCCAGCTGCACTGCAAAGCTGCGGCCTCCTGCCCTGCGGCCCAGCTGAGGTGCGGGGCAGCACCCTCAGCAGAAGCATCCTGTCGCTCAGATCAAGGAGGAAGGAGACCCAGTCTAAGAAGGAAAGGATTAGGCCAGCCAAGCAAGTGTGAATGGCACGAGGAGAGGAATTAAAGGCGGTTTCCACAGCTAGCAAGATTATTCTCATAGTGAACATCACACATTGTCACCTCTCCACGTACCCACGCGTGGTGGAGCAAGGAGGTCCCGTGGGTGCCTACCTGTCCGCAGCATAGCCTAAGGTGAACGCTCCGGCCAGGAAGCCCAGGTTTAGGATGGCTTGGGAGAGGTCCAGCAGCCAAGCATTGCCACACACGAGGTCAAACTGGGGAATGAGAGGAAACGCATGGGAGACACGTGGCAAGGCCCGTCCGCGCCGCACTCACACCTGCATCGGGCCTGCAGCATCCAGCTCATGGGCTCCTCCGCGGATTTTTAAAAGGGAGCACACGCGTAGTTAAACCTTGCTCAGTAAACGTTTCCTTGGTTGGTTTCAATAACTCCCGAGGATGGAATTTCCAGTCTGTTACGAATACTGACAACCAACTTATTTTATCATTCTTTCAACTAATAAAAGTCTAAATACCACCTGACACCCAGCATCATCCAGTAACAAGCTTTCAATAGTTTAAAATTTGATATCGACCTTTTTCCCCTTTGAATTCTTGCCTCCCCACACACTTACATCCAATATTTTATGTAGAGAATGTTTAAGTGTCTTTTGTACACTATATTCACAGTCAGGTAAATGTTGGTTTTATGCATAGATACAGAATTACGTGTGTGCATTTATGTACACTGTGGAATATTCACATATTATAGAATGTGTATAATCATCCAATCAGAAAAAGTTGAACTATTTAGAGATGCATTGTTACAAGAAATTTCTGAAAAATTAAATGTCAATTTGCCAACATAATTAATTATACATTGTCATGTGTTCATATTATTATACACATGTGTAATGTAATATACACAAAGCATCATGCTTTATTGGCCTCATTATACATCTGTCTGTAATAAGTTTATGACTTAACTTTTCACTTTAAACACTTTTCCTGTGAGATGCCTCCCTGGTGGTGCAGGAATTAAAGTCTCAGTACTATCAAGCTATCGCCATTGTGGCATGAGCTCGATTCCTGGCTAGGAAGGTGACCCACAGGGCACAGCAGACCTCTCCTGTGTCCCCTCTCCTCCCCTCAGCAGTGGATTTCAGTAGATCTGCCTGTTCTGCTCCTGTCTCTGTCTCTGGTGAAGCCTCTCACCCCTCCCCCACCGCTGGTCTACACTCCAGTTCTTATATGCATAAATAGAGAAATCTTTAAAAATAATTAGAAATTTTTCCTGTGATAAGACATTTCTAAATATAGATTTTTTTCTGATCAGATTATAATGAGTTACTTTTAGTCCATCGTTGATAAAAGCATAAGATATGATACATTTTGAGAAAGAATCACTACATAGAGTAGAATTTTGTTGGAAATGCGCCTCTCCATTTCTAGAGGACTGTTCGGAAAGTCTGGGGTTTTCCAGCTGTTCCGCTCATCTGCGGAAGACTGTTTATTACTAGAATAACTAGGGCTCAATATTAATCTGTTGTTCATTTTTATACATCTATGTGCCAAGAAGCCTTGTTGGTATAAATAAATTAATGGGGAGGGAGCATTTTGCTACAGCAACGTCACTCAATTCTCTTGCTTCCTTCTCGGTCCATGCCAAGATTCACAGAGCAATCGATCATCAAAAATACTGTTACTTTTCCATTAACCAACTCTCCAGCTTGGTCTACCTACACTCTTGCTGTAATGGAAGAAATAGAAGCCACCAGAATCACAAAGAGTCATTTCACCATGTCGTTAGAGTTATTTGCTTTCCCCCTTAATACCAGAACCAACATTCCAAGTCGGCCTGCTGTTAGGTTGCCCACACGCTGCCCATCCGGTGTCATCTCTTTTGCAAAGTGGGGCAAGGGGGTGGGGATGGGGTGGGTGGGAAAAAAGGGGAAAGGGCCCCTGGGACAGGGACCAGCATCCTCTTGCACAGATAAGTTTGCACAGACATAAAGGGAGGCTCTGAAAACTGATTCCCTTAGACGTTTCAGGCCCCCTGTCCTGAGTCTGTCCGCAGCCTCCTCTTTCCCCGAGTCTGTCTGCAGCCCCCAGGGGGTGCTTGCCCAGCTTGAGGAGCTTGCCCGGCGATTTAGACTATGGCATAAAGAAAATAATGTTGTTGGAACAGGAATTCTGAGTGGTCTCATAAACATCTAGTCATAAACAGCCCATTCTGTTTGTTTATAGAACTCAACTTCTCGTCTTGACTCTACAGCAACTGACCGCTGCTCATCTAACATGGTGGGGAAAGACTATGGGGCAGGGAGTGGGGGTGCGTGGGGGGTGGGGTGGTAGCTGGCCCATCTCACAGAGTCGCTGACATTAATGGAGATTAAAGAAGAAAAAACGTTACATTTACGCGTAGTAGTAGTCATCATGGTAATTCAGAAATATTTCATCATCAACTTGGGTACTGACTTCTCATACACACAATTTTATTTTAAGTAAACTTGCAGATGATCATTTATCTGAAATAATTTCCCACTGAAATTTATCTTCAGCGAGTATGGGATGGGGGTGCCCAGGGGCTAGTGCCAGATCAGAGGCGGGAGGGAAGCAGCAGGGGTTCAGCTCTGCCTACTGCACCTGCTCCAGGTCTAACGGTGGCAGTGACCACGGTGCTGGTGGCAGACGCCAGCCAGTGCTTGTCACCAGTCCCCGGCCACAGGGAGGCAATGCCGTGAGCAGGACAGGGGGTGGCCAGCAAGATACTGGTCTCTTTCCCCTCCTGGCTTTACAAGCCTTCCCAAACCACTGAATCCAAGTCCTTTTATTAATCCCTTCCTGCTGGAAATACCTAGCCTAGTTTCTGTTCCTACTTCTGGGCACTATCATCTTTCAAAAGACAAAATAAATTAACTCGACTTATGCACCTGTCTAGAAACACGAGCGGGTGCACAGATGTTTCCAGGTCGGGGAACACTCCTGCTGCCAGGGATGCAAGGTTGGGTTGATCCTGCTCAGCAGTCTGGGGGCTGCTGCTGCCCCTGGGGTTGGTTCTTCCTCGCCAGCCCTGAACTAGTTGCCAGAGGCCAGGAGCTGGGGTCTGTGAAATGTCTTTCATGTTTAAAGAGAGGTCGGCCAAGCCAACGTGAGTCATGTGTGTTGTAGGAGAGGAACTTTTTCCTGACGTAAAGTACTGGAAGTTTACTGTGATTCCCAGGGAGATCTAAAACCCACCTCTAGTCAAATTCGCCTAAGTAAATGAAAGACACAAACTTTTGTGTCTTTCTCCTAAACAATCAAACTAGAACAAGTGAGGCATCTCTATTTTTAAGTGAACTCATGCAAAGACATTTGAAGTTTTTCAAAATGCTCATAAATCCATGTGTACCCATTCTGTTCCCCATTAATCTTCAAAGTCACTTCTACACGAAGGGAATTATCCCCTTTGGCACGAGCAGACAGCCATTCTGATAAAAGACTCAAACAACTGTTCAAGTAATGCCAACAGGATCACAGCACTTCATTTTGCAAAAAACACGACCTCTCTAGTCTAATTAGACAGCTTTGAAGGGCTTCCAACCATGGGCTTTTCTTAGCTTTTCCTAGTTGTTAAAATCCAGAGACAGGATGTTCACTTGAGTTGTCATGAGACAATGCCAGGCAAGTTATTATTAGGTACATATCAAAGTTTTGATTTCTAAATTACCCTTAAAACTAGGGTTAGAGGGCCTCCCTGGTGGTGCAAGAGGTTTAGCCCTGCACTATGAGGCAATCCTCAGCCTCTGCAGCACAAGGTCAATCCCCAGCCAGGGAGCTACACATGGCGCAGCAGACGTCTCCTGTCTCCCCGCTGCTCCCCGCAGCAGTGTATTTCAGTCAGTCTGCCTATTCTGCTCCCACTCTGTCTCTGGTGAATCATCTCACCCCTCGCACCTCTGGCCTGCACCCCAGCTCTTGTATCCATAAATAAATCTTAAACAAACAAACAAACTAGCGTGAGAGGCTATCTGCAATATACAACGGTCAAGGTAAGAGGTAAAGTAAACACAATTAGGGTGCAAAAGATTTAGAAACTCAGGAGAGGCCTGCCCTGCCCTGCAGCCCAGGGAGCTGGTTTTCCGCAGACGTCTGCTCCGTCTCCTGCGTAGACCCCCCCAGGAGACGTCACACAGCCTCCGCGTCACACACTGACTCCTGTCAGGCCGTAAGGAACCATGCTCAGTGGTCGTCTGCGTTGTGGTAGAAAGGGACATGTCTGAAGTAATGTCTGGGCTTACGTGGCTGGGCTGCTTTTCTAAGGAGGAGTTATTACAAGTTGGACCATTTCTGACCAGCCCCAGCTCAGAACCGTACCCGTGAAGCCCCGCAGCAGTGATCGTCCTGACGCGCCCTTGGGCTCACCCTGCAGCAGCGTGACGGTCCTCGGGGAGGGCGCCCTCTTGAAACAGCAACAAGCCCAACAGCATCACAGAGCCCAAGAGTGGTTAAAGTTTATTATAATCACAAGGAAGATTCTCCGGGGCGCGTCTCCATGAGGAGAAAGGATGTCATCATCAATTTGGCACGATGAGAAGCATGTTAACATGGTCTGGGGGCATGATCTGCGCACCTTAATATCAATGAGTTACACTTTTCTAGGATGGATGGACCCACGATGAGGAGCCGCAGGCTCTAACACCAACACAGGTATTGGCAAGTGGCCGCCTCTGCTGAGCTTGGCTGCGTGCAGGGGAGGCTGGGGTGGGGGGTGGAGGGAATAGGAGAGGTGAGCCTGCTCACTTTCTGACCCCCTTAGGTGCTGATTACATGGGTTAGAGAGTCAAGGTCAATTTATGAGACGTACTTATGGTGCCCTTGAGACCGCGACTGGATAGAGTTGACTATAAATGCAAACGTGTCAGAGAAAGAAGAGGCTGGTGGGGCCCAGAGCAGCCGGAGACACAGAGAAGGTGGGACGTCAGCAGATCCTCAACGATGAACTGGGCACAGAATGGGAAAGCGTGGAGGGGAGCATAAGGAGAGTATTTCAGCAGGGGATGATCAGCCGGGGCACGAGCGTCAACAGGTTCAGGCCAGGGGGAGAACATGGGGATTCCCCAGCTGGGAATTCCCCAGCCATCCTCTGTCTCCCTCATGGGGAAGGAGTGTGCAGGGAGGTTCTAACTCAGGAAATCAGAGGCATCAGGGGAGCTCAGGACAGAGCATGGGGGTGAAGCTCAGAAAGAGAGAGGAAGCATCTGGAAGGTCTAAATGGAAGGAAAGGTCCAGA